TGTGCACAGGGATTTGATTCTTAGAAGGTTTCATTCACCTTTTTTTTTTTTCTCTTCTGGTTGTAGGATTTTCATTATGCTTATAGGATTGTTCAATCTGTGAATTAGGGGTTCTTGAGTTCTTCCTAAGTTTTCTCTGACTTATTGTATAGTCTTTGGTTTTAATTCTAAATCCCTCATCCGCCTTGAGTTGGGTTTGTGAATGGTGTGAGGTGTGGGTCTTGCTTTTCTATAGATGGTTTTCAATGGCTGATTATTAAGGAATTAACAGTCAGGACTTTCTCGAAGCAGCCTTTGGGTAGATGGACCTTACTTAACCTCCGAACTTTCTGTTAGTGACTGGAAGCATTAACTATTTATGACAACCACAGACTCTTTTGTTAGAGATTGTGTAGTGCTAGTGTTTTTAACTGTTTTCAAAATAGTTTGCATATTTGAATTCCATTTCTTTTTCTCTTCTTCCTCCCAGATCTTCATAAACAATGAATGGCATAACTCAGTGAGTGGCAAAAAATTTCCTGTCTTCAATCCAGCAACTGAGGAGAAAATCTGTGATGTGGAAGAAGGGGACAAGGTGAGTTTCTAGCACTAGTTCCATGTGATCCAGGGGACATTGTCTCTCTCCAGTCTGAGACCTCATACATCATCTCTAGTTTATGCAGGAATGTCAATATGACTCCTGGGGCTGTTTGGAGAAATTTTCTAAACTGTGCTTTGAATATATAGACCACTTTCCTCATAATGAGCCCATCTTTCTGGGTGTTGTACTTAATCTTTCGGTGTTATTTTTCTTACTTCTTTTTCTATTGAAATATTATTTACTGCATAAAGAGAAAAGACATAATCAATGATTTATTTTAAAAGGAAAAAAATCCTCTACCTAAATAAAATAATACTTCTTAATTTGCTAGGTGAAACAGAAATAAGAGTTAATATAGAATTCTTAGAATAATGTCTAAGTGGAGCTTTGGTGTGTACGGAGTGGTGCTTCCAACACAAAGGGAGAGCTTCCAACACATCAGCTGCTCCATAGGACAAAAATGGTCATCTCCTCCTGGGCGATTTACAGTCTCTGAAAAGTTGCTGGCATCAGCTATAAGTCAATTCTGACTCGTCAATGAGTCACGCTGCTACTCAAAAGCCTATCTCTGGTAGTTTGAATCCACAAGCAGCTTTTAGGGAGAAAGATGGGCAGTCTTCTCTCGTGTGCTATATGGTCTCAGAAACCCAATGGATGGCCATTTAATCACTAAAGTAATTGAGTTATTATTTTTCAATACCTTTAAAACTGAATGTTAGGTAGCTTGAATAAATTGTTATTGAGCTCTAGCTAGTAATGGTAAAATAATTTAAAAAATCAACTTTTATTTAGTCACTGCAGGAAAGAAAATGGTTTTACTTTATCCAAAGCAACCCTCAGCTCATTGCAGTTGAGTTGCAACCTACTCCTAGCTGAAGCCTCCAGTAGGTTTCCAAGGCTAAGCAATGTGGGATGAAATCCTTCCTTGTGTTTCGCCTGTGGAGAGATCCGTGGATTGTGAAGAGGTCCCTGGATTCAAACAACCAGAGAGATCCAGCCTTTGAGTTAGCCACATTACTCTGTACAGACATGATCACCAGAGCTCCACAGAGCAAACCTACAAAGACCACAATAATACCCTTGTACTTTTCTGAAATGCTAATGAAAGTACAGGGCAGAAAGCTTGTACAATTTACAGGATGTGACATAGCTAATAAATAATAACCCTCTTCAAATTCTCTCCTATTCCAAGGCTTACAACTAGCAGGGGCTCTCTCTTTCTGTGTGTCTCTGATAAAGGTAATTTGAAATCGCTTCAGAAGTGAACACACAAAATTCTTCAGAATTTTATCTGAACATGTACACGAGTATGTATCAAGACTAATTAAAAAATTTAAAAATTCTAGTCTTTCGTTTGTCCAGCCATTACTGAGGTTCAAATTGTTAACATAAATCATGGTCAGGTAAATTTCTCTATTTACTGTATTCAAATATCATTTGAAGATCATATGAGTAAACCTAAGAGTCATTATCATTTATGACATTGTGTTTTAATTAATTGTGGCAATCACATGTTCTGGGCAGTCTCTATGTTTCTCATTACTTTGCTATGTCTGCGCATTAATGTGATTACTAGTTTCAGTGCTTGGAGCCCTGGTGGCACAGGCAGTCAAGCACTCATCCACTGTCTGAGAGATGGATAGTTTGAATCTACCCAGCAGCCCCTGGGAGGGAGGGGAGATGTGGTTCTGCAAGGATTACAGCCTGGACAAACCTGTGTCAATTCTGATGTCACACAGGGTTGCTATGAGCCAATGGCAAATAACAATGTTAATTCACTAATCTCTTCAGAATTATCATGTGATAGCAGTATTTATATAAGAGGATCTTTTGGATTTAGAAAATATACAGATTTAGATTGTTATTGTTGTTGTTGTTATGTGCCGTCGAGTCGCCTGCGACTCATAGCGACCCTATGTACAACAGCCCTAAACTCCGCTCTGTCCTGTGTCAATCGCACTGTCTCTGACACTCCCATCCCAATTATCCCAGTCACTGAATCAATCCACCTCATAGAGGGCCTTCCTCTCCTGCGCCATCCCTCCACCCTCCCAAGCATGATGTCCCTCTCTAAGGACTGGTCTCTCCTCACTACATGTCCAAAGTAAGTTAGACGGAGCCTCAGAATCCTTGCCTCCAAGGAGCCACCCAGTTTAACCCTCTCCAGGACAAATCTGTTTGTTTTCCTAGCAGTCCATGGTATTCTCAATACTCTTCTCCAGCACCACAGCTCAAAGGCATCAATTCTCCTTCTATCCTCCTTGGTCATTGTCCAACTCTCTGATGCATAACAGGTGATTGCGAAGACCATGGCCTGTATCAGACGCACCTTAGTCTCCAGAGAGACACCACTGCTCTTCAGCACCTTGGAGAGGTCCCTAACAGCAGGCTTTCCCATGGCAATGCGCCTTTTAATTTCCTGGCTGCTGGTGCCAAGACTGTTGACTATGGAGCCAAGCAAACTAAAGCTGTGTACAATCTCAATCTCTTCACCATCCATCCTGATGCTGCCAATTGGCCCAGTAGTGAGAATCTTTGTCTTCTTGACATTGAGCCTCAATCCATATTGTAGGCTGCAGTCCTTGACACTCTGCAGCAGGTGCTTCAGGTCCTCCTCAGTTTCAGCAAGCAGGGTTGTGTCATCCGCATAACGCAGATTGTTGATAAATCGTCCACCAATCTTGACCCCACATTTCTCCTCATAGAGCCCAGCCTCCCGGATAATCTGTTCTGCATATAGTTTGGAAAGGTATGGAGATAGGATGCATCCCTGGCGTACGCCCTTCCCAATTTTGAACCATGCAGTGTTCCCTTGCTCTGTTCTGACGACTGCCTCCTGGTCCAAGTATAATTTTCGCATTAGAACGATCAAGTGTTCTGGGATTCCCATTCTTCTCAGAGTCAGCCACAGTTTATTAGATTGTAGTACATGAGAATGAAATGAGCCTGATATCTGGAAGGGCAGCCTTGGGGCCACAAAATACAAAGAATCAATTCTTCAAAAATGTCCCTTTACTTCATTATTTCTTTATTATTCTGGGGGAATTCATCCACAAGGTTTACATTTTATTTTATTATTCCATTCCTGGATCTACCAACACAACAGCCTAAATTTCAACCACACTGTGTGCAATGCTAGCCCTTAAAGCATTGCATGCTGGCCATAGTCTTTCTCCTGGGGCCATGGCATCATGCTGGGGGCCTACTTCAGAGCTTTTTAATAAGAACGCTGAAGTTCTAAATTTTTATAAACGCTCTTTCAGCTTCTTTTCCCTTTAGTGTAAAATAAGAAAATAGGAAAGAATGAGAGATTAAATCATTAAATAGGTTAACATCTTTAACAGTACTGAGCACCTAGTTAAACTTCCATAATTTCCAAGCCATGCATTTCTATAAGGCCGTCTCTAATCTCAGATAGACTTGCCCTACTTTGTAACATTATAAAACTTATTATCTATGTCATCATCTTGTATGTGATAGCTCTTGGCTAATTTGGTTGAGAAGGAATGATACTTATAGAGATCAACATGTAAAAAAATAGTTGGGTCTACTACATTACAATTGTAAAATGAAACATGTCAAGTGGCCCAGTAGTGTAAAATAATGATTTCCTTCTTGTGATCCTTTTTATAATTTATTTTACCTTCTATATCACATTCACATTGACTGATTTAATGCTGATTGGTGAATAAAAAATATTTAAAAACTGGAGGAAGGGGGAATCTCCGTTGCCATTAAGTCAACTCTGACTTGTAAGCCCATGTGTAGTAAAACTTTACTCCAGATGCTATTTTAATGAGTATGAATAAATGCTAAATTCTTCTTAATCAAACTTTGAATTGTCATGTATATCTCACATACCTCACCATGGGAATCTGGTACTAAACTCACTATAAAGTATGGCTGTGATTCTCAGAATTTGAAAGCTTGTGTAAATAGAAGTTACTGAGCTTCACCCACAAAGTTTATCTTAATAATTTTGGTCCAGGAGCGAAAATGCTCGCTGCTAACTAAGTCCCAAGTGATATAGAAGTTTCTGGTTAGGAGGAGACTGCATGTTGGGACCAATTGCTCTAAGATATTAAACTATTAGTTGAATCTCTTTGCAAATTTTTATAAAGTTCATGGGATTTAACAAGCAAGGAAGTTGGTGAGTGGAAACAACTGTGGCAATAATTCTGCCCCTGGTGGAACAATGAATGCCTTTATTTGGGCAGAAAAATAATTACTGATTCCTGCAACTTGGAATCTGTGTCCTGCTTAGGGAATCAATCCCTAAGATAAGGGAAATATTCATTCTTCATTGTTACAAATAGCATAATGTCCCCTAAAACATAGTGTCAGCTTGGTTAGGCCATGTTTGATGTCAGTTGTCCCTGTTCATGGGTCATAAGGTGTTAATTAGCCACCTCAGTATTATGTGATTGTGCTATGTGATTCCAACCCTAACCTCTGTTTCAAGGAGACAGGTTCAGAGGCAGTTATGAAATAATGTAATCATCCCCTGTGATGTGGTCTCAGATGTCATCAAGTTGTAGGTTTAAGGTGGAACACAACATCTCAATTAGAGCTCACTCCTGGTGTGATATATGGGCAGTTTACTAGTGGTCGGTCTGCATCGCATTTTGTAAGAAAGAGGAACCTCCTTCAATAGCACCAGGAAGGAAATGCTGTGAATGGAGCATGTCCTTAATGCAGCCACTAGAAAACTCCTCAGCCACGGGAAAATCAAGGGACAGGCAACTCAAAGGAATGCTGATCGTACAGATGTTGAAAGATGGTGACTTTCCTCCAGAACTGACTGAGGAAAAAAAAGAGCTCCTCTAGAGCTTGCACCTAGAATTCAGAATTTTTAACTCCTAAATTGCATGAGAATGCATTTCTGGTTGGTAAAGCTAAACCAGTAGTAGTATTTCTGTTGTAGCAGCAATAAAATCTAAGACATCTTCCATTTTGTAAATTGACATGGTTATATTCAATAATCTGATAGAATTATCTTTTGTTTTGAATCTTAACCTCTAAGATGTTAATGGGGGAAAAGTTTGATTTCATTTTACTTGGATCCACAGTCAATACCCACAAACGTAGCAGTAAAGAAATCAAAAGACTGTTGGACTGCGAAAACCTGCTGACAAGGATTTCTTTAAAGATCTCAACATCAAGGATGTCATTTTACAGATGGGGGAAGTTCTGAACCAAGTCAAGGTGTTTACAGTGGCTTTGTGTGCATGTGAAAGTTAGATAATGAGTAAGGATGACAGAAGAAGCATTTGAACTGTGATGTTGAAGAGTACTGAGTGTACTGTGGATTGACAAAGGAACAAATAAACCTCTCTTGGAATAAGTGCCACCAGAGTGTGCCATAGAAGCAAAAACTATCAGACTTCTCCGAATACACCAAGGGTGTGTTGTCAGGTGGGACCAGTCATTGAAAACATCCTGACTGGATAGTTGGAAGGTCAGTAATAGACAGGAGGACTTTCCACAAGATGAATGGGCACAGGGACTATGACAGTGCACTTGAGCAGAGTAGTTTTGGGATGATGGCACACCGACATCTTTGCAGTGGCCCAGTGGTAAGAAGCTGTGCTGCAATCTCAAAGGCACACAGTTAGAATCCACTAATTGATCTGAGGGAGAAAGATGGGCCATTTCCTCCTGTGTGATTTATTGCCTCTGAAAACCCATTGAAGGGTCAGCTATTGGTCAGTCCCAACTTGATGACACACAACAACAACAGCTCTTGAAAGAGTCAAGGATATCACTCCAGAACTGACAGAGGAAGGAAGGAAGTCCTTCCCAGTCATAGTGCTAAATTCAGATCTCTATCATCCCGTGGTGGTGGTGTTGTCGTTAAGTGCCATTGAGGCGCAGGCAACTCATAGCGACCCTATGAACGAAAGTCTTGAACACCTCCTCTATAACTTTCATCTTTTCTCCAGGTTCATAGGGTTTCTAGAGGCAAGCTATTTATTGTGGAAGTGGATGCCACTCCTGCTTCCAAGCTTATTTAATCAGGGAGCTTCCCCAAACACTGTCCACCATGGGTAGCCATTCTCGCATTTGACTCATCAGTGTCACAGTGTTCGGCTTCACAGCAACCATGAGTTACCTCTGAACAGCAAGTGGACATGCCAGGATTACACGACCTAGAAGAATGTTTCACCAAAAACAATTAAAGGCAGGCCTGAGGGCCACGGATTAGAGTCACGCACCTTTGGCTTGGGGGCATGGTTTTCTGTCTGCTAGGCCAACTTCTCTCTTTCGCTCACTCTCTATGCTGTTGTTAGTGGTGGTGTTGTTATCTCCCTGTAGTGTAAGATAATAAATTTCAGGTGTTAAACCCATTTGCTTGTAGTATTTGTGTTCTAGCAGCACAAGGGAATAAAGCATTTACATTTAACTTTTGACTGGCTGACTGCTGTTTTACTTCCACTTAAGAGAGTCTTCAGATTTCTATTTGCAACTAACAAAGATCTATCTATACTTCTATTTAATGTTGTAGATCTGTGATTTTGAATAGGTGACATTGCCATTCACTCCCAAGATTAGTTTCACCAGTAAAACAAAGCTGTGCCTCCTGTTCCAATCAAGTAAGGAAAGAGCTTCTCGGCTCTTTGACCACAGTCTGTCTTCTTTCTCGAGTGTAGCAGTGGAAAGCTGACCATAAAGCCCTAAACATTCAAATTGTTTCCTAATCATTGACTTTCTGCTTGTTGACGATAACCTCTGCTTGAAAAAAAGCAGAGCCGTTTGCACAAATATAGATTAAGAGCACTCATTAATAAATGCCAAAGATTCCAAAACACATTATACTCGAGAAAGCAGAATATTTGACTATTAAAATGAACATATATGCATGGTCTTGACTGTACACAGAAAGCCGTCTTGTAGCCTGTTCCTCTTGCAAGGATCTACTAACGTTTCTTTTTATATAATTACTGCTATTCTCACAATATTTCTGACAAACTTATGCTAACCTCCAACAATATTACTTAGTGAAAGACACAAATCTAGTAAATTATATAGTCATAGTAAACCTAATATTCTGGAACTAACTCTTTAGATAATGAGCCAAGAGAGCTTAAGGATTTAATTTATGAGTAAAATGGTGCTAACAATAGGCCATATACAGCCTTTCACTAGTATTATAAAGAAAGGAGGCGGGGCAAGAACAAAGGAGGTTACAAAGCAAAGCTCAGATGTGGGTGGGAACTGTTTTCTTTTCACTTCAGTGGTTCTTTTAGGCTGTATTGACTAATCCTGAAAACTGCTTTTAATACTAATGCATGACCTACCAAATGATTGCTGAGGATAAAAGTAAATGTCCATTAAGGTAAGTGCCTATGACAGGTGTAAAAAGTGGAACTGGTCTGATAACTACTTTCCCCATTTCTCAATGAATTTAGTCTGGAAAGGCACAGTCTTAGGGTAATCAGAGTTCAGTCCTTTCTTAATCATGTTTAAACTATGTTCATATTTGAAGACTTGCAGTCCTTTAAAAAACAAAAATGCTTTAAACATTAAAAGACAAGTGTGCTACTGATCTAAGTTAACATACCAGATTGTTTCTTGGTCAAGTCACCAATTATTATCCTAGTTCTTTACTAAATTCCACAAGAAAACAATGGATAGTTTGAGTTAATATGAAAGCTCTTTGTTTTCTAATGGAAAATACAAAATAAAATTTAGCCCATTAATTTTAATATGAATGATTTATATCACCTTGATCATAACTTCATAGAAAAGGAAAGTTTGTAAGTTAAGTAATAAAATTATTGCATATTTATCAACCAGCTTTTATAGGCTCAAAACAGTGAGAAATAATGTATTTCATAATATAGATTACAGTAAATATCCATTGCAACAAGATCTCTATTAGAGAGAAAATTTGTGTAGCTATAAGAGCTGTGACACCAAAATATAACTCTACTATGTACTAGCTCAGAAATTTAATACCAGTGAGTCATGGTCTATTCACCATGAAACAAGCTCCATGGCCTTTAACTATAGTGAGATCTATGGAGAGGGGTGAGCTAATGGCTGTAAAAAGGTTTAGATTCATACCTGGAACTGAATAGGACCTTAACCAATAGCTATAATCAAGCTGGGTGGGTCTGGCAAGATTTATGTTGTGGTATTTAAAAACTGTACAGAATTCTGAAAGTAATGGGAGTATTCAGTGAGAGAATTAATTTTTTTTTAAATTTTATTAGTTTGAATGAACATTTACAGAGATTTTGGGTTTTCATTCATTCATTGTTGCACTGTTTTCTCTACCCTCTTCCCCAGTTTGTTCTTCTTCCCCCGCCATCTGAATGTCTGTTTTAATTGTCCAGTTGCCATAGTGCTTGTCAAAGCCAGTTCTGATTAATCTCCTTTGTCAGTGTGTCCTTTGCCATTCCCTATCACTCCTCCGTGAGAGAGACTTCATCCTGATTCATAAGGAAAAGGGGATGGCGTATTCTCTTGGCTACTTCCTGCTGAAAAGGGACGCTGTGGGTTTCAGGGTGAAGATCTTCTCTCAGGGAGAGAATTCTAAAGAAAGAAAATTATGGGAATGTAAGAAAGTAAAAGTGGGCCAGACTAAGGTAAAGTAGGAAAAATATGAGTAATAAGTTTCAATAGGTGAAATGGGGCAATAAACCAGAAAAATATTGGTAACCTCATTTCCAAAGACCACACCATGGTGGTAAAGAGCAAGATCTCCCCTCTAGCTCAGCTCTGTCATTTTCAGCAATTGACCTTGGTCAAATTTCATTTTTCCCTTTGCTACAGTTTCTTCATCTATAAAATAGTGTATTTATTGAGAATTTGAAAAATTAATGTCCATGAAATAATTCAAACATAAAGTAAGCACTCCAGTGATATCACCTATTAAAAATAACTATTGCAGTATTTATATCTGTATATGAAATCATAATGCTATAGAATCCTTTAACATATTCTAGAAATAAGGCAATGAGCTTAATTTCAAAGCACTAAGTGTGTAAATATGCTCAGTTTTGGGCTAATGAAGGCACAGTGCTTAACTATAAGGATCGTCTATTTTACAGGATTGTTGCCTTGGAATTTGCTGACCAGTTTAGGGTACTGAAATGCCTGACATGAGTTACCATTTTCCTTGCAGGCAGATGTTGATAAAGCGGTGAAGGCTGCAAGAGAAGCTTTTCAGATTGGCTCTCCATGGCGAACTATGGACGCTTCAGAAAGGGGACGGCTCCTCTACAAGCTGGCTGATTTAATTGAGAGGGATCGCCTGCTGTTGGCAGTGAGTATTAGCCCAACTGGCCTTGTAATAAGAATGCTTGGAAACATTAATTGTTTTGAATTAGAAAGTTGTTAGATTTAAAGTATTACTACAAGTACTCTACCAACAAATAATTTTAACTTCTATGGTTAACACAGTAATGGTAGCATCGAATTTATTCTCAAATAATAATCTGCAAACTGGTTCTGTATAATTCTCCCGTAATAGTTACTCACACTAAATTGTCACCCTCAGTGAGATTATATAAAAATGGAAATCTTGTTGGAACTCTGATTTGACTAAGGAGTCTTGGGGACTTTTAGATCAGTCTTCAAACAGTGACCAATTCCTAGATAGCTAGTTGTCTGGAGCTCACACACAAAGTGATAGGAGGAACATTATGGCTTAGAAACTAGAATCCAGCTAATCTTTCTACCTGTATCTTTCTACATCTCCTTAAGGGGGGTATTTTAAACACGTGTGTGTGTGTGTGTGTGTACATATAAACAGAAAGAGAGAGTGCGCGAGAGAGCTGTGAAAGGAGCAGTGGTAACATGCACAAGGCTCAATTTGACTTCTGCCTGCTTCGTAAAGGGAAACTCTCTTCATCACTAATGTGGTCAGACATGCCACCTCACATGTTCCTACACCTATTCTCCCAATCCAGTCCAGTGTTTGTTGCAACTTGAGCCACAGACTTAACTCACAGTTGAAATTATTAGTGAAATAGGTTGCATGTGAAGCAAGTCCAGGTTTAGTCCAACAATCCCAAACTGGATTAACAAGGTACAATTTCACAATCAGTAAAAGTCCAGGCTGAGTTTAGCAGCACAAATGCACCTCTGGTTTCCTTAATCATTCAGTAAACTTTATCTCAGAGCAGTTAAAAGTCAGTTTTTCCTTCAGTCATCCAGCAAGCAAATCCTTTAACTATGCATCCATCTCCTGGGTTAGTCTGGTTACACCTTCCTGTCACAGTCTCTCTCTTTTTTTAGTTGAGATTTTAATGAAAGTTTATAAAGAACTTGGATTTCCATCCATTCATTCATTATTGCACATATTCCTCCCTGATACCTCTTCCCCAGTTCCCTTTTCTCTTTAGAAAAAAGTTATTTCATTCTTATACAGCACCCCCTCTGCCCCCACCAAGATCACTTTACTATGCAGCTCTTATTCTGGACTCTTTTCATGCCAATAATACCTAATCATATATTCATTTTATACAGTTTTCTCCCTCATCTGTTTCAATGCAATGTACATTATTTATCCCCTCTTTGCTTATTTTCCCCAATCCCAATTTAAGTCCTGTTTTATTATAGTGGGATTATACATACAGTAGTTGTCTTTTTGTGACTGATATCTTTCACTCAGCATAATGTCTTCCATGGTCACTCATATTGTATAATAGTTCATGAATTCTTTGTTTTCAGTGCTTCATAATATACCATTGTGTTAATATACCACAGCTTCTCTATCCATTTGTTTATTGATGGTCACTCGGGTTGTTTCCAATTCTTTACTATCATGAACAAAGCAGCAATAAACGTGGGAATGCATATATCTGGGCAACAGGTCTGGTTTCTTTAGGGTATATTACCAGTAGTAGAATTGCTAGAGCAAATGATGTTTCTATTTACAACTTTTTGAGAAAGTGCCATACTGCTTTCCATACCATTTTACACTCCCTCCAATAGTGAATAAGGGTTCCAGTTTCTCCAAAACTTCACCAGCATTTGTTGTTTGCTGCTCTGTTGAATTTTGCTATTCATAAAGGGCTGGGATGATATCTCATAGTTGTTTTGATTTGCATCTCTCTTAGAGCTAGGGATTTTGAACATGTTTTCATGTGCTTGTTAGCCATTTGAATGTCTTCTTTGGTGAAGTGTCTGTTCATATCCTGTGGCCATCTTTCAGTTGGGTTGTTTACCTTTATTTTGTTGCATGGCTTGATTATTCTATAAATTCTAGATAGAAGTCCCTTATCAGACATGTCATTACCCGGTATTTTTCCCCAGTCAGTGGCTTCCCTTTTTTCCCTGTTGGAGAAGTTTTTGGGTGTACATAGGGATTTGATGCTTAGAAGATCCTGTTCATCTATTTTATCCTCTCGTGATTGTAGGACCACAGTCTCTTAACAGTGTCTCACAGTCTCTTCACAACAGTGCCACAGTCTCTTCATTCTATCTCCACCATTATTTTTTACAGTGGGAAAAGCACTCTCTTATATTGGTCTAAAAACTGTTTATAATTTGCAAGAATATGTGTCCATAGTTACAGTAGCTAAAGACCATAACCCCAATGGGGGCTACAGCAATAGAAAAGCCAGTTTTCAAGGTTTATGACACCACACGAGCTCTGGTGGCTTAGTGGTTAGACGCTGAACTGTAATCCCAAAGGCATGTGATTCAAATCTGCTACCTCCTCCATGGAAAAAAGGATATGTAATCGACTCCCTTATAATTTATAGTCTCTAAATCCCGGCTATGGGTTGGTTCTGAGTGACAGCATACAGACAAAACCAATGGTCTACTGATAAGGAGTTGAACTGCCAAAACAAAGGCAAATGGTATGTATCCACCAGTTGCTCTACAAAAGAAAGATGGGCCTGCTCCTCTTGTGTCACAGCATCTGAAAACACACTGAAGGGTCAACAGTGAATCATTTTTCACTTGACAGCACTTAACAAATGCAATATACATGTATGTGTCTATCGTTGTTGATAGCTGTCAAATCAAGCATAACTCAAAGCAACCCTTTGAACAAAAAGCCTGAAGTCTTTCTATAACTATCATTATTTATCAAAGATCATAGTTTCCAGAGGCATGTTGTTTAGTAAGTGAATGCCACTCCTGCTTCCAAATGTGTGTGTGTGTGTATGAGTGTGTACACAAATATATAGACATAATGACTTATAAGATATTATCCATATTCAAAATTTTATAAACAAAAAACACTAAACTCCTTTTTTGGGGTGTTTTTTAGATTAATTTTAATGAAAGTTTACAGAGACTTAGGGCTTCCATTCATTCACTGTTACACTTTTCTCCCTGCCTACCCACTAAGCTCCATTTTATGAATAAAACTTCCCCACAGGGTTTCAAGGCTACAGTCTTTATGGAGGGAACTCTGATGATGCATTGATTAAAGCCTTTTTCTACTAACAAAAAGTTCAAGCCCAGCAGCTGTACCAAGGGAGAAACATGTAGCAGTGTGCTTTTGTAAAGATTTACAGTCTGTGAAACCCTATATGACCTTTCTAGATTGTCTTCTATGATCACTACTAGTTAGAATGGAAAGAACAGCAGAATTCTTTGAATATTTGCTTGGTATTAATCTTTATGGAAGCAAAATTCCAAGTTTTTCTCCCACAGATTGGTTGGTAGCTTTTATTAACAGATATTTTCAGTTAGCTGCCATGCCCTTTAAACACTACTATCATCAAGGTTTCTCCAAAAATTCTCTAACACGTGACTACTCCAAATATATATACATATTCCTCAGGAGCCCTGGAGGTGCTGTTAATGGAAAGATTAGTGATATGAACTCAGTCCTTCAGAAAAATAATTATCGTATGGTACCCTGCTACTGAAAGATTACACCTCCCAACTTTCGGAGGTGGAAGGAGGTTTCTACGCTGTCTATAGGCTTTCTGTGGGTGTGAACCTACTTTATGGCAGTGCCTTTGATTCGGGATACTAAAGTTTGGATTTTAATCTATTTTTTTTTCAGACACTTGAGTCAATGAATGGTGGAAAACTATTTGCCAATGCATATTTGATGGATTTAGGAGGCTGCATCAAAACCTTACGTTACTTTGCAGGCTGGGCTGACAAGATCCAGGGCCGAACAATTCCTATGGGTAAGTAGCTTTAGAGAATCACCAACATGGTAGGATGGAGACTACTGTGTCGTTGTTAGATACTATTGAGTCAGTAACAGCTCAGAGCAATATGATGAATAACAGATTGAAATCAACTGTTACATTAAGGTTCTTCCTCTGTTTTGCCGACACTCTACTTTCCCCAGCAAGACGTCTTTTTCCAAGGACTGACCCCTCCTGAAAACATACCCAATGTATGTAAGATGTTCCAACAGAATTGCCTCTAAGGAGCATGCTGGTTGTACATTTTTTTTTTAATTGAGGTAAATTTTTTGTTGTTTTTCTGATCTTTTTTATAAATTTATTATTAATTTCAATGAAAATTTACAGAGACTTCAGATTTCCATTCATTCACTATTGCACTTTTCTCCCCTCCCAACCCTCTCCCCTAGTATACTACCCTCTTCGAAAAGTAAAAGAAAAATTCTTTCACTGTTTTACAATCCCTTCCCCCAGGTCTACTCCACTATGAAGCCTTCACTCTGGACTGGTTGTACTTTTTACAAAATACATTTGTTTGCTCTTCTGACAGTCCATGGGACATGCAATTTGTTGTTGTTGTTGTTATATGCTGTCAGGTCAACTCCAACTACTAGCAAACCTATATACAACAGCTCTGAACCCCTCTCTACCCTGAGCCACTTTCTTTGTCTCTGACACACCTACTCCCATTACCCTAGTCAATAAATCAATCCATCCAATCCAGGATCTTCTTCTCTCGCCCTGTCCCTGCACCCTTCCAAGCATGATGTCCCTCTCCAAGGACCCATGTTTATACTACATTAGACAGAGCTTCAAAATCCTTGCCTCCAAGAAGCAGCCTGATTTCATCCTCTCCAGGAGAGCTTATTTGTTTTCCTAACAGTCCATCATATATTCAATACTCTTCTCCAGCACCACAACTCAAAGGCATCAAATCTTCTTCTATCATCCTTAACAATTAACTAACACAGAGTTCAAAGGTGTCATTTCTTCTTAGTTCTTCCTTATTCATTGTCCAACTTTCAGGTGCATAGGAAGCAATTACAAATATCAAAATTCTAATTAGGTGCACCTTAATCTTTAAAGACGCACTTTGGGGATGTCCTTGACAGCACATTTCCCCAATGCAGCACTTTCTTTGACTTCTTTACTGCTGTTTCCATGGATATTGATTGTGGATCCCAGTAAAATAAAATGGTTGATAACTTCAGTCTTTAATCCCTCCATCATGATTTTGCCAGTTGATTTAGGGATAGATTTTGTCTTCTTGATGTTAAAATATGATTCTAAACAGTCCCTTTTAAAAATGTCAAACAAACAAGATTAACTTCTTTTTTTCCCCTTCACTTTGAATAAAAAAACCTATTTCTGCACCTGAAACTTTAGTTAAGATTAATCAAATATATTTTAAAATTGTCTCAACATAATCACACTTCTTTATTTTAGAAAACAAAGAAGTAAGAACAGAACGACTTTTGGACAAATTTAGTGACTTAAGAACTCAAGCTTTTCAGAACTGGTCTCTGAAATGAAATACGCTGGACTTTATTCCAACAATGAAATTTATACCAACTATAATGTCATTTCACTACTTGTCTCTTAGTTTGTCATACATGGTGACTTGGACATTCCATTATGAATGAGTGATTTTCATTGGTTGCTGATGTTACTCAGAGGACTTAGGCCAGGCTAATTTGACAAATATAAATTTCTTATCAATTTCAAGGCATTATCCTTCCCAGAGGAGTGCTGCAGACTAATTCCTTCTCAATAGGCCACAAACACTTCATTTACATAGTAGCTATTGATCAATGTTTATAACTTCCTCAGGAAATAGTCAATTAACCTGGACAAAATAACAAATTCTCTGGAGTTAGAAACTCCAGCAAAGGCAATTCTTTTGGACTGAGGGGAAAAAATCTCTCGAATGGTTGTTCTAAAGAGTCAAAGCAAGCTACTGTACAAAAGAATGAGTTTCATGATAAGGTCTTTTCTACTGTTAAGCATCTTTGTGCTAAACTGTTTCATTATCTTATCATTGTAAATTATTCTTTGAACGTACAAATTTGTATTTAGTTAGGCATTGAAGGAAATTTTTTTTTACTTCTTTTCTACACCTTCCTGTCATAGAAGATTAAGCCATTATCCCATGAATGTCAAATATATTTGTCTAAACGTTATCGCATATGTGTTTTATTTTCCAGATGGGGACTTTTTTAGTTATACAAGACATGAGCCTGTTGGTGTGTGTGGCCAAATCATTCCTGTAAGCTGGTCTTTGCCATTTTCAATCTCAGTATTACAGTTCTAAATCTGTTCAATGTGGAATAAACCTTTCACCATCATAAATGGATCCTTATGTATTTTCTAAACGCAAGCAAATTATAGGACATGTTGAGACTAGGTTTCCATGGCATTAAGAATTTTAATATGAACTCAGTTGTCCAGAAACTTATTTATATCTGGACATTTCTGTAGAAAACTCTACTACAAAATCAACAAACTTTAAATTTTAGTCCATGAGTTCCTTGGAAAAGCAAATTCTATTATCTATTCTTTGTAAGATCTGTTGTTGTTGTTGTGTATCATAAAGTTGGAACCAACCCATAGCTACAATGGATTTTCAGAGGCAGTTAATCACTGGAGAGGAAATTGCCCATCCTTCTCCCACTGAGAAAGTGGTGGCCTCAAACCATATGCCTTTGGGATTGCAGCATAGCTTCTCGCCATTAGGCCACCAGAGCTCCTCATAAGACCCAGGCTTTACAAAGTACAGTGGTCGTCACTGGTCAGTTTGCCACAGAACACCACTGTAGGTAATCTACCAGGTCTACTACTCTCCAACACATTCTATTCCTTGTTGGGATAGCTTGTCATAGAGAATAGTAGTAATCAGAATGTTCGAGCCTTTAAAACTTTCTTTTTTTCTCTTTTAAATGGCAAGAAACATTACCAAAGGCATTTGAAGACTGCTTTTGTTGTCACTATGTGCCATCTACTTGACAACAGCTCATAGCGACGGTATGAACAACAGGGTCATCTGTCTTCCTCCTGATCTCGAATATGTCTGTACCCATGGACATAGTCACTGTGCCAGTCCATCTTGTTAGGACCTTCCTCTTTTCTCTGACCCTTCATTCAGCCTTCCCAGTGTGAGGTCTTTTTCCACATCCTGTAGAGTAGATAGAGCATATACTACCTTTAGATTAAAACCTCTGATACTCTAAATCCCTTAGAGGAAGTAGTATTTAAAGTGGAATAATAAAGACTTCCTTTTAAGTCTCACAAATAAGAGATTATGATTTAAATTTGACGGGCCTATTCAAAACACCCAATGGCAGGAAAGACAGCCAAGAGTCCTGAAAATCTTGGCTGACTAGTTCAAATAACAAAGCATTTGCTGCAATGAGATTGAAGCATGAACATAACATTTTGAATGAATCATTAGTTTTAAAAAAGCCATTGTATCTATATAAACTTGAGAAGCATCAACGGCTTCCTTGTTCTTGTTACTGCACTAGCAAACGTGTGACTGTGTTAAACATTTGACCTACTTTCTCAGTTAATCCTCAGGACTACCTTCTGAGGCAGAGGGGTCTATACCCACATTTGCAGCATGACCAGGCAGTATGCTTGCATTGATGCTGTCCTGTGGAGAAGTGGGCAGGGAGTAGGGGGTACTGGGTGCTCTGACCCAACAGGTTATCTGGGTCCTAATATGATGATCTCCCTAAGAGTGAGTTTTAGTTTTCTGATGAGGAAAAGGTAATTATGTGGACACCAAGCTTGTCTGTCTGCACATGTGCTACCTTGGGATAGCCCCTTTGCTACAGTTTCCGGTCTTATCAACCACTCTCTGACTCCTCATTCCTGTGTGGTGCCATCAATTCTGGCCTAAAGGTATTTCTTGGTCAGTGATAAGCTGAATATTCTTAGAACTGTTCCCTTCCTCCCCATCCCTGGGAGGCATTCTCATCTCAGGCTTAACACTATTATACATTGTAATAATACTATTTTATAGTATTTTAAATAATTACAGTAAATAACCTACCAGGGAAAGGGAATAGTTGAACTTTTTTAAACCACAATCACAATTTGTTTAATAGCAGGGGTCAACTTTCTTGTCATGCAGTCATATTTTTCTAGTAGAAAAATAACTCAAAATAACCTAGCTATTGATCAAATTTCATGACATTTTCTGTTCCTTCCTCAGACCTGATTTATTAAAAAAAATTTTTAATTCTCAAGTTTCTTTGAACAGTGAATTTCTATAGAAAATAGCAGAGTTCTACACAAAACTGCAATTACTGTTGAACATCTACAAGATTATAAAAAAGTTACATTAGCAAATGTGACTTCTAGTTTTATAAAGACGCTATTGTTCAATATTGCTTTCTAGTGGAATTTCCCATTGGTCATGCTTATTTGGAAGATAGGACCTGCCCTTAGCTGTGGAAACACTGTGGTTGTCAAACCGGCAGAGCAAACACCTCTCACAGCTCTTCATGTGGCATCTTTGATAAAAGAGGTAAGTTTTCTAAGTCAAAATATACACAGAATTCGGTGTCTTAACTGATATTAGAAAATCTCATTTGGTGCTACTGTATACTACTACATAGCTCCCGTCCAAGATGGGAGATGCCTTTAGGATTAGGATTGGTTTAGACTTTCGGCAGTCAACCCACATGAATCTCATTCCAAAGGTGGACAAGAAGTGAAAATCAAAGGTTTGGCATTTAGTCACCTTAGGATGACTTCTAGGCCACCCAGAAATATGTTGGAATTTGTTCTTGAAAACAATGTGTTCAAATTTTGTAAGTAAACTAGTAGAAAATTTTAAAAAAAGAAAATCAGGTATTCTATATACTAAATAATCAGCCATTAAAACTCTATGAAGCATAATTTTAGGGTGACACATAGGGGGTCACCATCAGTCAGAATTCTTACATGGCATGTACTTAGACCATTCAAGTCCTCATTGATTTGCATCTACAGCCTCACATGGCATTCTTCCTTTGTCTCTTTGTGTACCTTGTCCTCCTCTTTTATAAAGACAATAGTCATAGAGAATCAAGATCTACTCTGCTCTAGGATGTTAACATAATAACGTCTTCAAAGATTTTATTTCCGAAAAGAAACATTAATATAAGAGTCAGCTTCAATAAATCTTTTTAGGAGACAAAATCCAATTCATAACAAACAGATTTTATCTTTTGAGTTCCTGGTATGACTTGTAGGAGTCCTGTGGACAGTCTCAAGCTGTTACAATTCACTACAGATCCAGAAACCCAATAGCTGCTGGCTTTGGCTTTTTAGTTTGATTAATACAATGTTTAAGCAAGCGCCTATTAACTGAAGACACAAGTGGTTCCACCATAGAAAGAAGTAGCAGCCTGCTTCCATGAAGAAGAGCATAAGGAATCCTGTGGGGCAGTCCTACTCTATCCTATAGGGCGGTTATGAGTCAGAAGTGATTCATTAACACACAACAGCATGCAATATAAGATGCTCATTCTTGGAACAATAATGCATAACAACTCAAATGTAGGATTATGAAAAAAAATAGTTCCCTTGTTAATGAAACAGTTATTGTTGTTGTTTATCGTTAAATCAGAACCAACTCATAGCTCACTCCTCTGTGGGCTTTCAGTAGCAAAAAATCGAACAGGAAGAGATTGCCTGTCTTTCTCCCACAGAATAGCTGGTAGATTTGAACCTTTTGCCTTTGGGATGATAGCACAATTCTTTATCATTCGGCCACCAGAGTGCCCTATGAAACATTTAGGGTTATTTTATGTGGGCTAAGATAAATAATAATAAATAAAAATCACATCCCTTCAGTGACTTTTCCTCAATAGTGTTTAACTACTAGACTGGTAACCAAAAGGTCAATGGTTTGGATCCACCAATGTGCACTCTGCACCTGCAAAGATTTAGACTTTTACAAATCCTATGGAATATTTTCTGTCCTATGGGTCAGAACCAACTGCACAATAGTGTTGATGGTAGACATTTACAGGATTGCTGTGGAGAGACGACTTCAATCCTATAGTCTCCTCTTTTTTTCCAATGAAATTAAATTCTCAGTTTTACTGAAACTTTTTTCTTTATAATACCTTTTAGGCAGGGTTTCCCCCAGGAGTGGTGAATATTGTGCCCGGTTACGGGCCCACTGCAGGAGCAGCCATCTCTTCCCACATGGATGTCGACAAAGTGGCGTTCACAGGATCAACAGAGGTGAGACCATTACACAGGCAGTGATAATGAATGTCTGCCTCTCCAACTGTCAGAAGCATGCTTTACACAATGGTTTTTGAGCTGACATTTCCTTAAAACAAGTTCTCTTTAATGATTTGTTTCTTAGTCTAGTCTCCTCGTATGTTTATAGAGCATAAGCAGATGTAGTTAGGATATGATGAAATATCTGTTACATACTCAGGAGACCAGATTAAACAGTTCTTAGTGTATTCATTATCTTCTCTGCTGTGTAGGTCTTGGTATATGAATAATACAGTTTGTGATAGAAAATCTAAAGTAGGCCACAGTGACTGGTATGAAAGAACAGCACCTTGTTGCATAGAATATGGAAATTAAAGAGCAGAGTCTCACACTCTTTTTGAGGTTCTCAATTCCCTGGACATTTTGAAGGGAAGCAAGAAGCTCAGCTTCCCCAGACATTACTCCTTTTGTTTTGTTTTTCTTGGGTTTTGTTGTTGGTTTTGTTTTTTTTGGGGTGGTCTTACTTTTTTTTTTTTTGCAGTCTTGTTCTAGCCTTATTATAATTTCTAACCCTTGCCTGATCGTGTATAATTTTAAAGCCCAAGACTACAGAGGTGGACAAGACAAGGAGACAGGACGAACAAGTAGAGAAGTTTCTCCCTGTTTAAGATAATACATTTCTATCTATTTAGGTTATTTTTCCCTCCTATACTTGTCCCAATAGGCAGTCGTCAGAACATAGGAGGGTAACACTGCATGGTTCAAAACTGGTAAGGGTGTAGGCCAGGGATATGTCCTATCACCATACTTTTTCAACCTGTATGCAGAGCAGATTATCCGGGACGCTGGGCTCTATGAGGAGAAGTGTGGCATCAGGGTTGGTGGAAGATCTATTAACAATCTGCGTTATGCAGATGACACAACCCTGCTCCCTGAAACTGAGGAGGACCTCATGCACCTGCTGCAGAGGGTCAAGGACTGCAGCTTTCAGTATGGACTGAAGCTCAATGTCAAGAAGACAAAGATTCTCACCACTGGACCAATTGGTAGCATCAGGATGGATGGCAAAGAGATTGAGATTGTTCACAGCTTTAGTTTGCTCGGCTCCACGGTCAACACTCTTGACACCAGCAGCCAGGAAATCAAAAAACATATTGCGATGGGAAAGTCTGCTGTTAGGGACCTCTCTAAAGTATGCAAGAGCAACGGTGTCTCTCTGGAAACTAAGGTGCACCTGATACAGGCCATGGTCTTTGCAATCACTTGTCATGCATCAGAGAGTTGGCCAATGACTAGGGAGAATAGAAGGAGAATTGATTCCTTTGAGATGTGGTGCTGAAGAAGAATATTGAATGTATCATGGACTGCCAAGAAAACAAACAGATTCATCCTGGAGAGGGTTAAACCAGGCTACTCCTTGGAGGCAAGGATTCTGGGGCTTCGTCTGACATACTTTGGACATGTTGTAAGGAGAGACCGATCCTTGGAGAGGGACATCATGCTTGGTAGGGTGGAGGGACAGCGCAAGAGGGGAAGACCCTCTATGAGGTGGATTGATTCAGTGACTGAGGTAATTGGGATGGGTGTGTCAGAGGCAATGTGACTGGCACAGGATAGAGCAGGGTTTAGGGCTGTTGTACATAGGGTCACTGTGAGTCGCAAATGACTCGACAGCACATAACAACAACAACTAGCAAAAGTAAGTGATGAATTCCATGTCATGTGAAATCAGAAAAGTTCCTGTATAAAACAGAAAGAAAAGTTTTTGAGTCCTTCTATTAGATTAGTTGTCTTATTACATGTTCCATATGAGAAAAATACCCTTTTTAATATGCTCTATAGATGTTGAAGGGAGCTGTGCTGGGTGGTCTACTGGTAAGAAGCTGAACTGCAATCTCAAAGGCATTCAGTTCTAATCCACCAGCTACTCCATGGCAGAAGAATGAGCACTCTTCTCCTGCGCAATTTATTGCTTCTTAAAACTTGCTGAAAGATCAGCTATAAGTCAATTCTGGCTCAACAGAAGGAAAAAATCAGACATAAAAGTTAAAGAGTTAGAGTTTCTCCTCTTACAAAGTTTATCACACAAATAAGAGACCAGGAAGTATATGATATTGTTGTTGGGTGCCGTAGAGTCAAGTATGAGATTTGTAACCAACTTATGGATAATATCTCTGAACTCTGTCTTGTCCTGAGCCAGCCTCACCATCTCTGACACACCTAACCCTATTGCCACAGAAACTATGTCAATTTATCTCATCTAGATTCTTCTTCTCTTGTGCTGACTTCCACCCTTCCATGCATGATGCCCTTCTCTTAGTACTAGCCCCTCCTGACAATATACCCAAATTATACGAGACAGAGTTTCAAAACTTTTTCTTTAGTTGTTTTATAATACTCTTCAGCAAGATTTTGCTTGTATGTAATATTAATGATATTTTAAAATATTTTTGTTGGATCATCTTTTTTGAGGAATGGGAATAAATAACGATATCTTCCAGTAGGTTGGACATGTAGTTGTCCTCCAGATTTCTTGACACAACCTGGTGAGCACATCTAGCACTGCATCTGTTTGTTGAAATATGTCAACTTGTATTCCATCAATTATGTATACATATATACAATAAGTGCACTAACATGTGCACCTTCTGAAAACTGGGAGGAAATTCACAGGGAAGAAGAATGATGTCTAACTGGAGGAGTAAAGTTTGCTCTGACTTTTGATAAATTATTCCAGTAGGGTTGCTTCCACATAGTCTGTATTTTAGTCACAGCCTCTGAGTTTTTCAGATTCATAGAGACCCTTCATAAAATGTTCAAGGCAGTAAATTATAATGGAAAAAGAATTTGCGCCATATCAAGCCACTGGTACATCTAAACTGGTAGAAATGGACAGTATTTGAGTTAGCAGCAAAATTTGTTAAGGATGAGACCACAAGAGCTCTTTTTTGGTTACTATACCTTCTGTAATTGTGTACTGTCAAGTCAAAACCAACCCAGCCAGTGGGTTTTTAGAGGCAGTTAATCTCATAGGAGGAGATTGCCCATCATTCTCCTGCAGAGCAGTTGGTGGAGTCGAACCCTGTGCCTTCAGGATTGCAGCACATCTTCTTGCCACCAGGCCACCAGTGGTAAAGAGCTACACTGCCAGCCAAAAGGCAACCAGTTCAAATCTACCAGCTGTTTCTCAGGAGAAAGAAGAGCAGTCTCCTTTCATGTGAATGTACCTTTAGAGGCTTGATTTACTTCATGGAATTTTTTTTAACAAGATAGAAGTATTATCAGAATAATCAACCTCTCTTTTGGAGCTCTAATGGCCTAGTGTCCAAAAGCAGCTGTTGTTGCTATTAGCTTTTGGGTCAGAGCAAACCCATAGTTGACCCTCCAGTGGGTTTTCAGAGGCAGTAAATTGCATGGGAGGAGATTGCCCATCTGTCTCCCTTGGAGAGGCTGGTGGAGTTGAACCATGTGCCTTTAGGATTGCAGTGGAGCTTCTTACCACTAGACCAACAGACCTTAACAAATGACAGCTGTGGAAACTTTATAGAGCAGTTTTATACTGTCCAATGACGCTGCTATGAGTAAGACACAACTCAATTTCAAGGAGTAGTTTGTGTTTCTTTTTGTGTCTGTTTGTTGTTGTTGTTAATGCAAAGTATAAAGTAGTTAAATAACTCCATAAAATTTAAGCCTACACTCAATGATATACTTATTTGTTCAGTCTGTATGGAAACTTTATTAAATCTGATACAGAGTTGTGACTTTTTTTTTATTAGTGAGTACCTATGTTCCTCAACCACATCTAATTTCAAATCATCTTTGGTGGGCTGTGGAAATTAAACAAAAGAAGGCAACCCACTCAGTTTTACTATTTCACAACAGGTTTATGCAGCAGAAATCTGGATCTTTGAGCCTTTGAGGAATCCCATAACTCTTGTTGTAATATAAGGGTTTTCTTTTTTTATATATAAAAGAAATAGAAAGACTAGAAGAAGGAAATTAAAATTAATCATCTTAAAGAAAAGCAAAGATGATTTCGGTAGATTTAGCTTTCAAGAAATAGAAAAGGAATAATTACAAAACGCGGCAGTTTTTAGAGATGAAAACTTACAACAAAATAATCTTGATGGGTAGTGATCCACAAAGAAAAAAAATCTGAAAACAATGTGTTTCTCTAAAGAGAAGCAATGATGATTTTTAAAGCATCTAGAAGAGTACAGTTCCAGCCTACTGAGGCTGGAAGGAGCGCAGAGCACAGATCTTTCTTCCAGCTTTACTGTTGAAAGATGTAACCGGTGAGAGAGAAGTGTGCCTGTCTTTACTGAAGTGAGCCCACAGTTGTAGATCTTGCTGGGTGAGAAGAGTTATGTAGTGATACGACTACATTGTCACTGCTACCAAGGAGGTGATACTTAAACGAGAAATTTCTGTGTATACAAATATCACAGTCTGAAGCAGATCCTGAAGTACTAGTCCTCATGTAATTTCTACAAGAGTTCAGAGTGAGGGGAAAAGGCCATTTCTACCTGGGATCATCAGGGAAGAGTTCAAAGAAGAGCTAACATATGAGCTAGGTATCAAAGAAGTAAGGACTTCAAGTAAGTTCAAGTACAAGTGAGAACCCAGAGTAACTCCAGGTGCAAGTGGATACACAATGAGTAACAAAGTGTGTATGTGTGGTGGTGGTGGTGGTGGTGGGGTTGGTTAGGAATACAGGATGGGAATAGGTTTCTTTTGCTGAGTAGAGTTTTCTGCATTTCTACGTTTTTAAATGCTGTCCAGTTACTACTTGTTGCTGTTAGGTACCTTTAAGTCAACGCCAACTCATAACAACCCTGTAAACAACAGATACGAACCCTGCTCTGTTCTGCATCATCTTCATCATCTCTGATATATACTTAGCCCATTGTTTCAGTCACCATGTCAATGCACTTCCTTGAGACCACCCTATGTAAACAACAGATCTAAACCCTCCCTATTCTGCACCATCCCCATGAACTCTGTCATGTTCCAACTTATTGTGGGAGTCACTGAGTCAGCTCACTGTGCCAGCCCATTAGATCTTGATGGTCTTCCTCTCTTTCTGTGACCTTCTATCTTTCCGAGCATGATGTCTCTGTCCAAGGACAGGTGCCTCCTGAAAATGTGTCCAATGTAAATGAGGAAAAGCTTTACCATCCTTGGTTCCAAGGAGCACTCTACTTCCTTCAAGACAGATTGATTAGTTCTTTTGGCAGTCCGTGGGATATTCCATTCTCTTCACAGGAAATAAGTTGCTGGCTTTTGCCATATCTGGTTGTTCTAATAGAGAAATGACTTTTAAAAACCTGTTTGAGAGGTGGGGGGAAAGCTCTGATTAAAATGAAAAATATTGTCCTATCTAGCCTTGTGCATGGAGATCAGCTATTTTGTTCTATATTTCTGGCTTCTTGTTCTTGAGCACTTTTAAGGGTTTTTAGGAATTCCTTTCTGATGCAACTCACTTAAATTTTGCTTCTACAGAACAATTATAAGCAGTATATATCTATTTCCTTTAGCTTGGACAGAGGAGACTTTTATATTCAAAGGTTCTAAACTTGAACAATTCCTAAGTTTACTATTTTTTCCCCAAATGTAATTGAACTATGGCTTACATAGTGTACTCGCTCATTCAGAACACTAAATGAACCTGCCTTCATGAAAGCAGATTAAGCCTCTTCTCTGTTATATTCCTTTTCAGGTTGGGAAAATGATCAAAGAAGCTGCTGGGAAAAGCAATCTGAAGAGGGTGACCCTGGAGCTGGGCGGAAAGAGCCCCTGCATTGTGTTTGCAGATGCAGACTGTAAGTACAGGCTGCTGGGCCAGCTTGTCACCTGTCATCTTTGCTGGTGTCTGATAATGCCAAAAAGTGAACTTGAATTTTGCAGAAGGGCTTCTTTGAATATCAAAGGCTAAGGCAGTGATCAAATAGCATACCCTAAGACAGACCCTGAAGTGTTCTCCGTAAAGCTTTCTTGGGAGGTCAGAGGAATTAAAGGTGATTTCTGCCTGAGGTTATCAGAAAAGGGTTTCCAGAAGAACTAAAACAGAGCTATTGTTGTGTGCTGTTTAGTCAGAACAATAGTTGACCCTCCAGTGAGTTTGACGACGTGGTTAATCACAACGGAAGAGATTGCCTACCCTTCTCCCATGGACCAGCTGGAGGATTCAAACCCTTTCATATTGCAGTGCAAAGCGCTTCTTACCGCTAGGCCACCAGAGCTCCCTAATCAAAGTGCAAAATTACTCTCAAAAAAATCTCAAATTTGTGTAAAAGTTTAACCTACAGGCAGGTCTCACATATAACTCCTTTCTTCCTGCTTTGGAATAACAAATTTCTCCAGGAGGACACCAAAGTGTGTGTGTTCATTGCATTGCATGGAGTCAGAACCGCCTCATAGTTGGACCTACGTTTCCAAAGTTGTAAATGACACCAGAGGACATTGTTTTTCCTTAAAGACACTGGTGAATTTGAACCACCAGAGAAATGTGTGGTCTTGGGTTAGCAATACAAATCTCTATGGGTTAGGTCTCCAGTGCTCCCGGGTTTCTTTTCATGGATTATATTCATTTTTCTGAGTTGTCTTATACTGAAAAAAAAAAAAATGAAATGTGGGTAGTGTGAAGCAAAGTTCTACTCTCGTATAGGTTTTGAATCTAATAATATGAACTCTAGGTCTTCAAGACCACGCTCCCTCACAAAACCTCCAACAGACAATACTTGCTTGCTTCTCCCAGCTTGCCTTTTCCAGTTTCAGTTAGTTCCGGGTGTTTACTGACTTGTGACAGCACAACTCCATTGTCTGCCATTGTCATCACGTAGCCAGCCAGACACCTTTTCTCTGTGTCTGTATCTTTTCTCCTTTTTAATAAGTATACAAGTAATTCTCCATAAAGAGTCACCATAGTGATATCATCTTAACTTTATAACATCTGCATAGATTATGTTTCCAAATAAGGTCACATTTGTAGGTTGGATGTAAACATATCTTTTGTATATATAAAATTAAACCTGTAATCGGGGTAAATGATGTATCTATTTTGTATTTATTGTTCCATATGCCTTCAGAAACTCTATGAACTTTGATAAATGTCAATAGTTACAGAAAGGTTTCAGGCCTTTTGTCCTTAAGGTCACTATGAGTCGTGCTTGACTTGAAGGCAGTCAACAACAATAATAACATTAACAAAAATGTCATGTATTAATTGCACATTACACATTAATGTTTATCAATTACATTAAGCTTTAAAACTAAATAAGTGACTATCCTCAGATATATTGAACTGGGAGTTCTTCAGTCTGAGCAATACATTCATTAATTGTAAAGGCCAAAAGATGACACTCTGCTTAAATAATTTGTCTCCTTTGATCCCCTATCAAGTATAATTGGGTTTAGAAATGTTGCATCTAAAATTATTATTTCACTGAGCCATCATATCCTAGGCTTATTCTGATTATTTTGTCAATTAAAATCCTTAAATTCTTTCCTAAGTGGGAGTCAGTCACAGAACTAGACTGTTAAACAGTAACTTTAAAAGAATTTTTAGCATAGAACTACAAATACAACTGATTCAGAATTGCTTGTTTTGCTCTTATAATAAGTTAATATTTCTGTAGAAATATATTATTACATATTCTACAAACATGGCAAGGTTCCTGACTTTATCTGATCTTTCTATAAATGATTTCTGCTACAAGTTAATCATATGTGAATTCAGTTCACCAGTGAAATGAAAAACAATAATCTGTGTATAATATGTAATAAATAAATAATATGTAATAAATCTCCAGCCTTTAGATGGTTAAATGCAGTATTTTTTTCCTTTGTGTTTAGACAATGAAGCAATATAAATCCTTCTTTTTAAAGAAAATTTTCATCATCTCAAAAAAAAGAAGTGTATGTAGGCATGAATTAAATGATACAGCCTTCATTAAATAGTAGCTTTTTAAAGTCTTACCAGGAATAGAATCATAAGGGAGTGGGAAAGTGCCAAATATTAGATTTGTTTCCCTCTATATCCCTAGTCCAATTGATTAGGTAGAATGTTCTTTAGTTATTTAGTACAATAGATCTTTTGGGTTTTCTTTATTATCTGATTAAAAACTAGGCACTAGAAAGAAATACACTATTATGGAAATAAGAATAAAGGGAATTTGCAACGAAATTTGATCTTACTAAATTTTCCGGATTTTTGGCAATGCAGATGTTAAAGTGTAATAATCACCACTATATTTTTATCTAATTTAGTATATAGCAAGCAAAGAGTCAGAAAGATTCACAATGACCGGTAATAGGTATACACTGAGACTGGCTTCTCAACTGACAATAATTCTAAATCATCATTTTGTCTCTTGCACATATACATGAAAATATATATAAAAATTAAATCTTAACCAATGTCCTCTTTGCAGTGGACAATGCAGTTGAATTTGCACACCAAGGATTATTCTTCCACCAAGGCCAGTGTTGTGTAGCTGCATCCAGGCTTTTTGTGGAAGAATCCATTTACAATGAGTTTGTTCGGCGGAGTGTTGAAAGAGCAAAGAAGTATGTTCTTGGCAATCCTCTGACCCCAGGAGTTAATCAAGGCCCACAGGTGAGTAAACATTGAAAGGGAATAAAGTGTCTTCTTTTTCCTTTCTTTTTTAGCCTAGATTTATTTTTTCATAACTGTTGTTATTGTTGTTATTCTTATGTACCATCAAGTTGGAAATGATGCATAGGTAACCTGCCAGCAGGTTTTATGAGGCCATAAATCACATGGGAGGTGACTGTTCATCCTTCTCCCTCTGCACGCCTAGGAGATTTAAACCACATGCCCTTGGGTTGGTAGCACACCTCTTTACCACTAGGTTTATTCCTGTACACTTATCTTTCGGGGTAAAAACACAAGTTTGGTAATTTGAAACAATAAATATAAAGCTTCAACAACAAGCAAAAACAAACTTTATGCTCAATGCCATTGAGTCATAACCAACTCATCACTGACCCACTATTAAGCATCTGGAGCTATAAATCACACTGGAAGAAACGTTCATCTTTTTTCCTACAATTATTGGCAGAATTGATCTGCCAGAGATATGCAGGCTATGAGTTAGCAGCATAACTTCCTAAGGCTTGCTAGAAATTAAAAATGTATATTTGGGGGGGAAGAAGCGGAGAGGGAAGCTGAAAATGTCTTACTTTGATCAAAATGTCTAATTCCAATAAAGAGTTCACCCTTTCTAATTCCTATATATGGTTACATAACTATCTGGAAGATGAGGGAAATGGTGATTCATTGGCTGAACTCTTGCCTTCAGTGCTGGAGACCCAGTTTGATTTCCAGCCAATATAACTCTTGAGCAGCCACCACGTACCTTTTAACACAGTCTTAGGTATTGGTGTAGTGTTCAACAGGATTCAGTGGAGTTCCTACAACAAGGTGTATTAGCAACAAGGTCCTAGTGACCTACATCTGAAAATTAGTCAATGAATCCCCAAAATCTGATCTTCAACTTCTCTTGAAAATTGAATTACATTGAACAACATTTCATTTCATCATGCGTGTAGTCACCAGGAGCTCGAGAACAATGCAACTACAGCTAACAAGAGTCCACTTGGAGATTCTTATGTTGTGGTTGTTATGTATCATCGAGTCAGAACCAAACATCCTCCAGTGGGTTTCCAGAGGCAGTAAATCATAAGGGAGCGGTTTACCTATCTTTCTCTGTGGAGCAGATGATTTAATTGCCTTTGTGTTGGCAGCGCAATTCCTCACCACTAAATCACCAGAGCTCCCTCAGAAATTCGTATAATATTCTTTGTTCCTCAGAAACAGCGATTTGTCCTAAATCCCATCTAACAGATTTGTTGTTGTTTATTTGTGTTATCAAGTATACTACAACTCATGGCAACTCTATCAACAAGTCCTAACCTTGACCTATCTTTCATAATCCTCACCCTCTTTGTAAAGTTCAAGTCCATTGTGATTGTCTCATCATCAATCCATTTATTTCATCCAAGGTCTTCTTCTTTTTCACTGGTCTCTATTTTTCCCAGCATTCTCTCTCTCTCAAAGGACTGGTTCTTTCTGAAAATTTGCCAGTGTAAGTGAGAAAGTTTCACCATCCTTACCTCTAAGGAGCACTTTGGTTGCACATACTCAAGACAGATTTCCCTGTTCTCTTGGCAGTCCGTGGAATATTTAGTACTCTTCATCAATACCATAGTTCAAAGATGTTGATTCACCTTTGATCTTACTTATTCAGTATCCAACTTGCAGATTCATAGGCAAATATTGAAAATACCAAAGCTTGGGTAAGGTGTACCACATTCTTTAAATTAGCATCCATGCTCTTTATAATTTTGGATAAATCTTTGACAAGAGACTTTTCCCAATGAAACATATGTTTAATGTCTTTATTTTCTGTTGCCAAGGATAGTGATTGTGGATCCAAGTAAAATTAAGTTGTTAACAACTTTAATCACTTCTCCATCTATGTTGCTGTTGTTATTTGGTCCAGTGGTGACAAATTTTGGTTGTTTTATATTGAGATGTAATCCATACTGAAGGCTGTAGTCTTTGTTATTCTGTAGTAAATGCTTCTAGGAAAAAAATTGCTGAAGAATATTAAAAAATGGCTAGAACATCGACAGGAAACTTGTAGAAATTCAAATTGGATTCTGAAATGTTTTGACATAAGAGATAGCATTGCTGATGTCTGATGGACCTCAGCTGAAAACAGAGAATTTAAGAAAGGTGTTTATCTTGTGTTTTATTGATTATGCAAAGGCATTTGACTATGTGGATCATAAAATGTATGGCTAGTATTGAGAAGATTGGGAATTCCAGAGCACTTAATTATGCTCTTGTGAAATCTATACAATAGACCAAGACATACTAGTCTGAACAGAACAAGGGAACACTACACAGTTTAAAAACAGGAAAAGTGGTGTCAGGGTTGCACCCTGCCTATAAACTTATTTAATCTGTATAATGAGCAAATAATTTGACAATCTGGACCATTATGTGAAGAAGACTGTGACATTGGGATCAGAAGAAGTCTCATTAACAACCTGTGCTATCCAGATGACACAAACTTACTTGCTTCCACAGAGATATTCTTGTTGCCATCAAGTCAACTAAGACTCATTATCAATCTTATGAACAATGAATGTGAACTTTGTCCTATCCTATGACATTGCATTCTTTTTATATATACTAGAGCTCACTGTCACAGTCACTGTGTCAATCAATCCATCCCATTGAGGGTCTTCCTTTCTTGCTAACCCTTCACCTTTTTTAGTATAACAATTTTTCCTGAGGACCAACTCCTCCAAAAACATGCCCAGAATACGCTTCACCATCTTTGCCTCCAAGGAATACTTTGGCTGCATTTCTTCAAAAGACATAGCTGTCTGTCCTTTAGGTGGCTGGTTGATAAGCTATTCAGTACCTTTCTTCAACACCATAACTCAAAGAGATCAATACTCTTCTGCCATCTTTGATCATTGTTCAACTTTCAGATGTATAGCAAGTAACTGAAAATATGAAGGCTTGAATAAGGCACACCTTAGTCTTTAAACTAACATCATTGCTTCTCAATAGCTTAACATCTGCTTAATAGCAGATGTTCCTGATGTGATACATCTTTTGATTTCTTGACTGCTGCTATAAAGACTGTTGATTATGGATGCAAGCAAGACAAAATCATTAATAAATTCTAGCTTTTCTCCATGTATCATAATGTTACCTATTCGCCTGATGGTGAGGATATTTGTCTTCTTGATGTTGAGATATAATCCATATTGAAGGTTATAATATTTGCTCTTCTTCAACAAGCATTTCAAGTCCTCTTCATTTTTGACAATAGACAGCTAATATGTCTCTAGTTTCTCTCCAAAGTCTTCAGTCACTCTGAACTAAGAGCACCCAGAGTTTTCTAGAAGGGTCTTGGTTCCTGGGCTTGGGGAAACTTCTTCTTTTCATTTTTAAAGCCTATTTACTCCCTTCAACTCAATTCAACACAACTCATTTCCACCTAGTCAATTCCAACTCATAGCTGATCTCCACCAGGTTTCTGAGGCTTACTTACAGGAAACAGGCTGTCTTTCTTCCTAGTAGCACCTGATGATTCACACCATTAGAGAGACCCAGTCTTATTTGGTTAGCAATGTAACATGATAAGGACACCACCAGAGTTACTGTGGCTTCTGATTTTCTCATGTATCTTATTAGCAGTTAGAATGTCTCCTTCCTATCCAACAATCAATTTTCCTTCTTCCTCACATATCTCTGTTCATTACTATTCATCCTCTTGTGTCTCTGGTTTCATATTTCCTTCTACTCTTTGGAGTCCTGTCCTACACCAGTAGTTCTCATCTTAGGGAGTTTTGGATGCCAAGTGACTGCTAAAAAAAATCAACAAATATAGAGAAATATGCATGAATAGAGGAGAGCAAGGAACAGCTACAATATCTGATACTGAACAATGGGAGTTGATATGTCATTCCAAAGGACCATCTTCACAATTCTATCAGAAGCTCAAAAATTTAGCCAGAAAGTCACAGAGATCTGTACAGCAATGTTTATAGCAGCATTATTTACCATAGCTGGAACATGGAAACAACCCAAATGCTCAACCACAATGGAATGGATTGAGAAATTATGGTACATCCATACAATGGAATATTATGCAGCACACAGGAGCAATGATTTTGTAAATACTACCTAACATGGGAGGGACTGGAGAGCATTATGCTGAATGAACTAACTCAGTCTCTTAAGGACAAATAATGTGTAAAACCATTATTATATAGCATGTAAGAGGATCCAAAGGGAAGGGGGAGCACAAACATAGGGTTGCACAATTTAGTGAGTAGAAGGAGGGATTGGTAGGGGAAAGGCCTGGTGTGAAAAACAATGTATATGAACTTTATGAACTTTGAATGTAAACCAGTATAAAAATAATTGAAAATAGAAAGAAAAAAAATTGAGCCAGAACACTTAACAGTATAATTCAGTGATCTAACTGCTTAACGTTAAGACGTTAATCTCTCTAAAGGAATAGATTTTACCATGAGTTGAACTGAATAGGTAAGTATGTTGGAATTTTAAGAACTAATAGACTGAAAAGCCTCCAGGCTTTCTTTAACCTTACATATATTCATTTGTTATTATGGAAAAGGTTTATAGAAAAAAAAGCAATCCATTCACTGAGCTTTAAGCTTATACATCATCCAGTTGAATGAAGGGGACATTTTAAAATATAGTTAAATCCTTCCTCATTATAACAGAACAGTTAAAGAGAAAATAAGCACCAGTGATGTTTGTTTGGGAGATAAATGAACTTTTTGGTTCTATTTGACTCTTAATTTTGATGCTTACTACCTTTTGGAAGTAGGAGTGGCATCCACTTCCTAAACACCATGCCTCTGGAAACTCTATGAACTTTGATAAATGACGATAGTTATAGAAAGGCTTCAGGCCTTTTGTTCAGAGGGTCACTATGAGTTGTGCTCAACTCGATAGCAATCAACAACAAAAGCAACTTTAAGATAGTTAGGAATATTTACTCAAAAAAATATGGTTTTGTGTATATATAAGTAACCTGGTAACCACTCTGGTCACATACACAGAAAAGTTATGACTTGAGAAACACATAACTCATTTTGTGTAAAACACAAAACTGATTTTGAGACTATAGTGAGATTGTCTTGAAAAATATTAGTGAAGCTTCTGATAGAAATAGGTGGATTTTTGACTGTGTTGATATTAACAAATTTGTCCTTAAGTACCATCGAGTTGGGACCAACTCACTCCTAATCCTCCAGAGAGTTTTCAGAGGCTGTAAATGGCATCAGAGGAGATTGCTCATCTTTCTCCCTCAGAGCAGCTGGTGGATTCAAATGTGTGCTTTCAGGTTGACAAGGCAACTCCTTACACTAGGCCACCAGAATATTGACAAATTATTGTCACTGTTGTTGTGTACCATCAGATTGGAGCTGACCCTCTATTGGGTTTTCAGAGGCAGTAAATCACAAAGGTGAGAGTGCCCATCTTCCTCCCATGAAGCAGCTAGTGGACTTGAGCATTATACCTTTGAGTTGGCAGCACAATTTCTTACCATTGAACAAATGAGCAGAGAGTTTCTAACACCATTGTCTTACTCAGCTTGTATAATGTATTATGTAGTATTAGAATGATAATTTATTACAACAATACTATAAACTACTTTCTCTCAAGTCAATTCTGAGTCACAGTGACTCTAGGTATGTCAGAGTAGAACACAGTACTCCCAAGGTTTTCTGGTAGCTGATTTTTCCCACAGCAGATGATCATGACTTTCCTCTAAGGTGCATCTGTTAGACTCGAGACCCAGTCTTTCAGAGAGAAGTCAAGTACATTAACCTTCTGTACCGTCTGGGGCCTCCAATGAAACACTACAACACCTTTAACCTGCCAAAATATAAAAGCATTATCCTATTTGTACTATTGAATTAAATATTTTACAGCCAAGAATCATTCCAAATTATAGAAATTATTTCTGGTTTCAAGAAGCACTTAATACAATTTGATTATGGGAGTTTGTACTGTTTAGAATAAGTTTATAGAACTTGTTTTCTGAACTTTGGGGGGTTAGGGAAATTTGCAGACAAAAAAGATTTTT